TACACCTCCAACAGACTTTTTAGAACAGGGTTCCCAATCTTCTACTTGGGTCCCACTAGCAGAGCCAACTTCTGCTTGACATGCAAACACGGCCAACCCCACTTTCAGGCCAATCCCATCCAGGAAAATAAAGTCTCTGGAGCTTGGGATCCCACCATATTCAGAGGGTGGCCCCTAGTTTGGGAACTGCTATTTAGAATCTTAAATCCAAAGTGTGTATAAAAAAACCCTAACTCTGAACACGAGAGATATTATGGAGGATCTCTTGTCAATAAGTCCAGGGTTCAATTTATGCATTTATGTAGTTATATTTTTCTAGAAACTTTAGAACCAATTAGATTAACCTGTTTCTTCCTTAACTACAGAAAAAGAAGTTAGAGGATCACATCCTAGGTGCAAAGTATTGCAAGAAATAACAGTATGCAAATAAATTACATTAATTTAACTGATGTGATGAGGCAGAACCATTCTTTGATTTCTGCAAACTGGGCAATAAATGATGAACCTGAACTACCTGAAAAATCGACAGAAAGCAAATGTATAGCTATCTTCTGATGTTCCTGTAACCCTCTTGCTACATTCCTGAACTTTCTTCCTTTTCACTACAATAGGATAAAAATTCAAACAAGTATTGTTATTCGAAGAGGAATGTTGATTTATTCTGACAATCTAAAAGACCCTCCACGTCAAAAGGAAACATAAAGGAAGAAAAATAAGTTATAAAAGCTAACTGATCTATTTAGTTTTCAAAATGAAACAGCAGGGAAATACTGGAAATGCATTGAAAATTGTATTTCCACAATAAGAGTACCAGCAACAAAACCTCAAATAGTAATTGCATGAGTCACTTATGCCAAGAGATAGTAGTTAGTGCCAAACAGCTTCAACACCACATTTCTTAGGTTAAATTCTAATCTTCTTAGCATGACTGAACTCCTTGCTTTTCTGTTTCTGGGAAACAGACATTTTAGGAAATAGCATGGACATAAGAATAAGAGAAAAGAATAAAGGATTCATTACTTAGCAACATAACTGTGGAACTTTCAACAAAGTTCAGATGAACACACTTGCAACACTATTGCAAAGTACTTTCCAACTCCATTTGGGTTGGTCTCATAAAAGAGATCAAATTCACCCAAGGAACCTTGTCTGCCTATGTCCTTAGACCAACACGGCTACAACCTAAACCCTTCCAACTCCTACATACTTTGAGTTTATTCAATAACACGTTAAAGAGACTGTAACAATTACATACATTTTGTAACATCTACTATTTATGTACTCTACCATATGGCAATTGCCTCCAGTATCATCTTTTCAGTCCAAATGCAAATCACTTTGGACTGTTATCTTCAGTTTAGCAGTCTCTCAGCTGAAAGATTTGCTTGTAAAACCTCAGCCTTAACCCATCTTCATAACTGCTTGCAATAACAAAAGAGCAAGGTTGGTGATTTTCCAACCAAATAATCCTTTTTATGGAGGATCATGATTTGCATCAGAACTGATAAAAATCAAAGAGCTGTCAGGTGAGATGTTTGGTGTATACATTAAACAAAACAGCCCTGACAAACCGGACATACAACATTTTGTGTCCGTACTTGGCCCTCCAGTCAAAATAAGAGATCAACAATACAATGCAATGGGCCAAGTTCTCCTTACATCAAATGTACACTATATTTATGCAAAGGACAAGTAAAATTTAGCTACTGGTGTGAATGAATGGAGAATACAAATATAACAAGTGGGAACTCCCTCTTAGTCTCCTACCTTTTTGATTCCCTTGATTGGGTACCCAGAGTTTTCCTCAAATTGTATGTCAGGCTGTCTGTGCTGTTCCTGCATTAGCAAACTATTATTTTCAATACTACCAAGAACTCAAATGGAGTCAGAACTCTTT